CTAAGTAGATGGGGCTGGGGAGATGGCTCAGTGAGTAAAGAGCTTGTTATGCAAGCATGACGACCTGACTTTGAATCCCTGGAATCCACATAAAAGCCAAATGGTACTGAGTGGGGTGGTTTGCTGAGGTTTGCTGGCCAGCCAGTCTGAAACAGCCAGCTCCACATTCAGTGACAGAACCTGCTCCCCCAAAATAACATGGGTGGGGGCTGGAGAGGTAGCTGAGCAGTTAAGAGCACTGGCTGATCTTGCAGAGGATCCAGGTTCAGTTCCCAGCACCCACATGGTGGCTATCAACCATCCATAACTCCAGTTCCAGGGAATGGGATCCAACTCCCTCTTTTGGCCTCAGCGGGCACTGCACAACATGTGTCCACTTACATATGTGCAGGAAGACTCATACACATAAAATTATGTGTATTAATTTAAAACATAATATAGAGGGGTTGAAGAGATGGCTCAGCAGTTAAAAGTACTTGCTATCCTTCAAAGGATTCAAGTTTGGTTCCCAGCACCCACATTACATGACTCACAGCTGCCTGTAATTCCAGCTCCAGAGGATATGACTCCCTTTTCTGGCCACCACAAGCATCTGAATACATATGTGTGTGCGTGCACACACACACACACACACACACACACACTAAATAAATAAACTAAGTTTTAGAAATCAGAGTATTTTAGCTAGGCATGGAGGTGCACATCTTTAATCCCAGTACTCGGGAGGCAGAGGCAGGTGGATGTCTGTGAATTTGAGGCCAGTCTGGTATACACAGAAAGTTCCAGGCCAGCCAAAGCTACATAGTGAGACCCTATCTCAAAAAACAAAGTATCAGATTATTTACTAACTATATCTAACACAGTTCTTGAGGAAACAGCTCTAGACTGCTTTATTTTTATCTCATTAAACATAAAACTTATGTCTTCTTTCATATGGATAACATTTTTAAAGGTAATTTGTCTAGTATACATGATTATTTCCTAAATAATCCTATCTCTGGGCTGGAGAGACTCAGGGGTTGCAGAGGACCAGAGTTTGGTTCCCAGCACCCATACTGGGAACCTCAAAAATGCCTGTAACTCCAGCTCCCCCAGGGGGATCTGATGCCTCTGGCCTCAATGGGCACCTGCATTCATGTGCACATACCCACATGCGGATACACACATACACATAATTTTAAACAATAAAAACAAGTCTTTTAAAAATCCTATCTCCACTTTAAAATGAAACTTAAAAATTTCTTGGCCATACTATGTACTTAAATATTGAACATTTAAATTAATTTTGTGGAATGTGGTGCTGCCGCATTAAAGAAAAAAAAATCTTCATTCTTGGAATAATTTAACCAAGAGTGAACCTGATCTATTCTGAGGTATTCTGATTTCTTTCACAACTGTATCTATTCTGTTCCTCTGCTCCTATTCTATTCTATTCTATTCTATTCTATTCTATTCTATTCTATTCTATTCTAATTTCTATACCATTCCATTCCAACAAAGAGCCTGCCTTCATATTTACTGAACAGCATATCAAGCAAACACATAGGAAAGACCTGAGCAATCTTCGGTAACAATTTCACAAGAGAAGAAGTTGTTTTCTGATCCTGTGTTCTGATCTTTCCGAACAGCATACAAAGTCACAAACAGATGTCATCAACCTATTCCCACATGTTGCTTCCAACATTTGTGAGGAGGACATTGCTTTCAGTGTCATTGTTTTCAGCATCCCCATTGTCTCTTTTTATGATGCATATATTGCTCTGAGTCAGGAACAAAACTAGTCACAAATGGCTACATGGTATAAAATTAAAGCTATGCCTTCAGCTTAGTCTATAAGAGGTAAATACATCAACCTTCCCAATTATTGTAGGACTGATTACATTGTTTTTCTTAAAGGAGCACATATTTCTAAATGTTCCCAAAACATGATTAGCTTGGTTTACAAGGCTATGTAAAAATTTCAATTTGTTACAAAGAATCTTTCTTAGAAAAGTCAGCCCGATAATAGGACACTCCAAATTTAAATTTTTCTTATATTCTGATATAAACTCTGTGTTATTTGCCAAGCTGAGAATTTGGGATAAATTCTAAATGAACAGACATTACATGACTGTGCTCAACCCTGAAATCAACTTCCATGATCATGGTCCTTCTCTCCACTCTATACAACAACAACAAAGTCCTGCCGCCTGCAACACTGTATCCGTGACCTTGTGGGGTATGTATATATTTGTTGCCTATCTCTTCCTGCTGGCTCTCCAAGCGCAAAAAAATCTGTGTAATTTGTTTGACTGATTCCAAGCATCTAGTACATAGTAGGGTACTCAGTGAACCTTCATTTCTTGTAGGGTAGGTCTGCTGACACTGAGTTTTTGTTGTGGTGATGGCTGCTTGCTTACTTTGCAGAAAAAAACCTTTTTTAGTATTTATTTGTGTGTGTTTGCACATGTGTGTACGTGCACATGCCAAGATGTGTATGTGGCACTCAGAAGACAATTTTCAGGAGTTGGTTCTCTCCCACTATATGGGTTGGGGATCAAACTCAGGTTATCAGGCTTAGCAGCAAGCACCTTTACCCACTGACCCATCCTCCCAGCCATTTTTTATTTTTATTTTAAGACAAAGTCTCACCAAGTTATCCATATAGGCCTGAAAGAAAAGATTTTTGATACAGATGAATGAACACCTCTTCCCTGAAATTATCCTGCCCTGATGCATCCCAGGCAGTTGATTGGTCCCTTTCTCTGACCCCATTAAAAATTTCTACATATTTGCATCATACTTGTTATCTTATACGTATCCATAATGTAGTCTGTAAGCAGAAATCATTCTTTTCTGTTATTATAATCTCAAGACCAAGCATATCATAGGCTTTCTGTGGGTTAGCACTTTAGCCAACATGTTAAATACCAGGCTATTTGTTGTAAAAGATCTAGATTTTTGAAACTTTGGAGTAAAATTAGATAGACAAAATTTAAGAAAAAATTCCAGATTTAGGGAAGCTGGAGAGATGGCTCAGCAGTTAAATGTACTGGCTGCTCATGCAGAGGACGAGGGTTTAGTTCCCAGCACCCACATGGCAGCTAAAAACCATCCCTAACTCCAGTTCCAGGGGATCCAATGCCCTCTTCTGGCCTCCATGGCCAATGCATAACACAGGTGCACTTACATTCAGGCAAAACACTCATACACATAAAATAAAAATTAAAAAGAAAAAACATTCTTGGCTCTTGGCCAAAAAGAGATAGAAATCAGACTTTTTTTCTTTTTCATGTACCCTTAATTTTCCCTCTTTTTAATCTGCCTCAAGGAGTGCGACTCAAATATCTGACCTTATTAAGGAAGTATCTGTCTCATATTAAATAATCATCCTTTTGTTATTTTTCTTTCTAAAACATCTTCCCACTCTTACAACTGTATTTATTCTTCCACAACTTCAAGTGTATATAATGTACTTTGCTCATCTCTCTGCCCCATCAATTTAGCCTCTCCCCTTCCAGAAATCTCCCAAGTGACATGTGAGGATATTCACCATTCTAAGGAGGAGTGAGAGTTTCCACTCGTCTTGAAATTTCTGTCTCCATTACAAATTCCTTCTTCGTCCTATTACCTCTAGCAATTTTCATACAGGAAGAGCACTGGTCAGACATTGAGATAAATATGAACTTTATTAGTATCACAATGACAAAGTTCAGTATTCTGTAGCCTTAACTCATAATAAAAGAGCTTATCCCTGATTATACAGAGGCTCAGGCATGTACAGCAGGTTAAGAAAGAAACACTGGGAAAAATCAGGTCATTCCTTTTCCTTCAGTCACAGAGACAGGGCAGCAACCTAGCCTATCAACATTAAAATTAGCAGTTAGAGTGGGCCTCATCTTAACTAAGACCTTATTTGAACTTAATTACTTCTGCTAAGGCACTGACATCAAATAAAGTCACATTCTGAGGTCCTTTGTAGACAAAAAGTCGGGAAGTCCATTATTTAACCCAGCCCACTAGCTAAAGTCGGTGTTGCTCAAAGATCTACTGTTGAACCTCTCTTCTTCTGTGCCCTCTGACAATCTCTACTACCTCACAAAGTTAAGCTCTGAACATTTCACAGTAAGCTATGAAGCATGTAAACATTCCTGTAGCATAAGTCCCATTCTATCACAGAGATTTGGTATCTCCCGTTTGCACAGATCCTAAGTTTATAAGAAACTTCGAAGTTCCTTCCACTAAATCAGACTGAACCTCCACAGATTCCGATGTTACATTCTTTGGAATTAAAACTTAACTATCAAATAAAACATCACCCTTACAATTGTAATACAAGTCTTTAAAAATTTGGTGCAGAGGTAGACTTCGGTGTCTTCCTCAATCACTCTCCACTTTACTTTTGGAGACAAGGTCACTGAGTCAGGAACGCCCCTTGCTACTACGCTGGTAGGGCAGTGAGCTCTGCAGAACCCCACGTCCCCACATCCCCACGTCCCCAGGGCTGGGCTTGCAGGTGTGCACAGACCGCGAGCTTTTTACGCAGGTGCTGGGGCTCAAACTCAGGGCCGCACCGGGGCTGGGCAGTTTCCCTAAGCCCGCGAGCCTTAAGCATTGGCGCAGGCTTTGAATTCCGGTCTTAGCATCCGTTTCTGGCAACACCGAGCGGACTGGGAAAGCCAATGTCTTCCGGATTCGGTTCTCGTAAGTTAGGCTAGACACCCATTGGTGTTTATTGCAGCGATTAAGTATCAGAATAAACGCCCAACACAGAACCCGATATCCGCCTGAACGTTTGAGTTCCCGGGCCCATAGGCCCACCCTCCTGCGCTGCAGGACCGGAGGCCCCCCGGGCGGAAGGACCCTAGGCCCCCCCCCCCCCCCGCCCCCGCGCGCGGGCGCGCGGGGGCCCGGCGCGCCTGACTGTCAGGGCCTCGACGCCCTTCCGCCCTGACCCGCAGCTGCCCGCGTCTCCTTCTCCCTCATTGTCTGGATGGGCGCGTCTGTAAGGACTTGGGCGGGCCACGACGTCAGGCATCTCCCCGGCCAGCTCGGGTCCTCCGCCGCGCGAGGCCCCCGCCGCCGCCCCGCCCCCGCGCTGAGGCCTGAGGACCGCAGCGCCCTGAGGATCTCGGGGCCCAGCCCACTACTTCTAGGGGTGCTGGTCGGCTGTCCGCGATGCCGCTCTACGAGGGCTTGGGGAGTGGTGGCGAGAAGACGGCAGTCGTCATCGACTTGGGAGAGGCCTTCACCAAGTGAGTACCGTGGGGCCGTCGTAGGCCCCGGGAGACGTGGTGGTCGCGGCCGCTCCTCGTAGGCGGGCAGGGCATCTCGCAACCTTCCCCCAGCACCCCGCGCAGATGACTGGCCTTAGAGTCTCCTCCTTGGACTCTGCGAACCTTGAGCATCCGGTGGGCCTGGAAAAGGTTTGGACTCCCTAGAGGCCCAAGAAGCTTCAGGAAAATAGCTTTCGCTCCCACCCCCGTCCCCCTACACCTAGGGTCTGCACTCCAAACGTAACGTAACCTTTGGGGTCCTCGGTGCAGGGTTGGACGGAGGTGACCCAGACACTGGTTTGCTCTGGGCCGGTCAGATTAAGAAAGCAGCAGTCGAATTGTAGCGTTTGCTAATTATTTACATCATAAAATACTCCGTTCGGGAGCTCTGTTGGTGCTGGAAATACAGGGAAGGAAATCAAGTACAGGGAGACTGGGCACACAGATTTGAGATATAAATAAGACTGGAAATACGGTTTTTTATCCTAAACTCTTACATCACGTTTTGTGCTTTTAAAAAGCAATTTATAAACACTGGTATAGGGATGGATAACTCTTGGGTGTCAGCGACCTCTGTCAAACGCAGGTGAAAGACACAAATGCATAAACCTTAGAACAGTTGGACAGAGTGTCACAGTTTAAGATGCCTTGTATTAGGCTCAAGAGAAAAGTGAAACAGTTACATTGTGTGGTGAAGTTACATGTGAAATTGAAATGATTGGATTTTTTTTTTACATGCCTGTAAGCACTGCCTATCCTACGTCGATATTAAATAACTGTTGAGTAAAGGCTTACAAGAGCATGCTTAAAAATTGTTGGGAGCTACAGAATAGGATTAAACATAATCCTCGATTCATATATTCTCTTGTTCTCTGCAAGGCCCTCCCATATTCATATTTTATTTTTGAAAACTTTAACTGGGGGTGGGGCTGGAGAAGTGGCTCAGAGGTTAAGAGCATTGGCTGCTCTTGGAGAGGATCCAGGTTTGGTTCCCAGCACCCACATAGGGGCTAACAGCCGTCTTTAGTAATTCCAATTCCAGGGGATCCGATGCCCTCTTCTGACCTCCTGATGCCCTCTTCTGACCTCCTCATGCACTGCATAACATGGGTGCATGTATGTACATGCAGGCAATACCCTTACACACATAAAATAAAAATAAGTATGAAAATAAAAACTTTAATGTGATATTTGAGAATACTACCCTAAAATAATTATTTTGGCTATATAGGGTACAATTGGAAAACAGCAGAAAGATGTAAAATTTTTTTACATGATGTAAAAGAAAAGAATTGGAGTAACCCATTACATTGTATTCTGGGGGATTTGAAGAGCACTGAATATGAGTAAACATGAAGATGGGACTAGGAGAGGGTGGAGAGAGATACTTGGGCACCAGAGCACTGAATATGAGTAAACATGAAGATGGGACTAGGAGAGGGTGGAGAGAGATACTTGGGCACCAGAGAACAGGAGGCGATTAGCCTTCACATTTCTGCAACAATTTTAACAAGGTTTTGTTTCATTAACATGCATATTAAAAACTGGCAGTATTTAAAATGAAATGGAGATCTTTTTTAAAGGTTAAAAACTCATTCAGTTTTATGTCTTACAGGGTTTATACTGAGTTCAATATTGTATAACTGTACTAATTCAACTGTGAACCTAAAAATTTTATATCCACTTTTGAAAGGGGTGTATCTTTGCTCTGGGAATTGTTATTGAGTATGTTAAAGTTGTAATGAAATGCTTCTTCTTAAAAAAAAAAAAAACTGTCATTGACCACTGATTTTTTTTTTTCTTTCTTTCCAAAAAAAGAGTTGATGTACCTCATACTGGCCTTGAACTTGCTATGTAGTAGCCAGTGCTGACCTTGAACTCCTGATCCTACTGACTGGCTCCTGAATGCTGGGATTACAAATATGCCAACCATGCTTGGCTTAAATACTAATTTTTAAAAATATTTTATTTGTTATTTTTATTTTATGTGTAAGAGTGTATTGCATGCATGTATGTAGGTGCACCTGTGTCTTGTCATGCCTCGGGAGGTCAGAAGAGGATGTTGGGAGTACCCTGGAACTGGAGTTATGGATGGTTGTTAGCCACCATGGGGGTACTGGGAATCAAACTGGCTCCATTGCAAGAGCAGCCAGTGCTCTTAACCACCGAGTTATCTCTCCATCCCTAAATATTAATTTTTAAAAGGATGAAATGTACAGTTTGAAAAATGATAGCTAAACCAGCAAGATAGATCAACCATAACAGCATTTACTGCTAAGCCTCACAAGATAACCTGAGTTGAATCCCCAGGACCCCCATGGTGGAAGAGAGGACTGACTCCCACAAGTTACCCTCTGACGTCTATATGTGCACATGCATGCACACACAAATGCGCACTCACACACAAAATGTGATAAAAATAATAATGTAGATTCTCTTAAGTTTGTAAGCTTGAGTTCACAATATATGAAGTATGATTATAATGGTCAAATATAGTTTAAAAAGTAGACTGAAAATTTACATGCTAGCAGTTACTTTATTTGTAGTAGTACTTTATTATTAGTATTGAAGCTAACAATATTAGAATGATGAAATTATGACTAATGCGATTCATAGCCATCCATGTAACAACATTTCAGTCAGTGAAAGACCACACATACGGGACCAGGCATGGTGTGCAAGTGTTTAATCTCAGGAGGCAAAGGCAGGTGGATCCCTGTGATATCTAGGCCAGCGGGGGCTATAGGGAGACCCTGTCTCAAAAAAACAAAAACAAAAAGACCTATATATATGATGACATGGTTTTTCAACACATCAGCTGTCATTGAGCAAAATTTCATTATACTCAAATGGCTATAATTCATGTTAGTCATTCATGTGTTCAGATGCATTGAGATACACAAATACTTACTTTTCTATGTATATATTTAGATACACAAATACCATTGAGTTACAGTTGCCTACCATATTTAGTACAGTAACATGTTGTAAAAGTGTGTAGTCTAGGAGCAATAGGCCATACCATATAATCTAGATGTGTAGCAGACTATACTTCTAGGTTTGTGTGAGTCACAAAATAACTAAATTGCCTACAAATACATTTTTCATAACATGCCCTCTTGTTGAGTGATGCATGACTTTATGAATGAAGTCATATCATATAGACCCAGGATTGTAGAAATAAATGCCTTGCCTAAAATTCAGTTAAAAATAAAGGTGCTGGAGTGATGGCTCAGCAGTTAAGAGCACTGACTGCTCTTGCAGAGGACCTGGGTTCGATTCCCAGCACTCACATGGTGGCTCTGAACCATTCTTAACTCCAGTTCCAGGGGAATCAGAAGCCTTCTTCTGACCTCTGAGGCATTGTACAACACGGGTGCATTCACATCCATGCAAGCAATACCCTCATGCACATAAAATAAAAATAAAAATTTAAGAGTTTTATAAAAGAAACAGGTTTGGCAGAGGCTGGACCCGGGGCACGGGGGTCTCGGGGGACAGCCTGGTGTTTATGCCTCAGTTTCTTCACCTGTGTAATGGGGGGGTCACAAAGCTCAGGGGTCGGTGGAGCATGTTTTTTTTAAATCTTTGACCCTTTAAGTGTCTCAGGGTATTTCCAGATGTTTTTGCGGTATTATTTCTGTTTCATTTTCTGTTTATTTGCAGGTGTGGATTTGCTGGAGAAACTGGGCCACGATGTATAATTCCTAGTGTGATAAAAAGAGCTGGTGTGCCTAAGGTATTTTATTTATTTTTTTATTTTATTTTATGTAAATGAGTGTTTAGTCTGCACATATTTCAAGTGCATCCATTTATGCAATATCCTCAGAGGCCAGAAGAGGTTGTTGGATCCTCTGGAAATAGAGTTATAGACAGTTGTTAGGCACCATGTGGGTGCTGGGAACCAAACCCAGGTCCTCAGCAAAAACAGCCAGTGCTTTTAATCACTGAGCCATCTCTCAGCCCTGATGGTGGTTTTTAAAAAAATCAACTTTATCAAGATATAATTTGGTGTAGCATAAATTTAATCTTGTTGTACAACTATCATATAATCCAGTCTTAAAATATTTTCATCAGTCTAGTAAAGTTTTCCTAGGGCCTATTTGTAGTAGTTAATTCTTATTCTTACCTCTAACCTACTACTGATACACTTTCTCTTTCTATAGCTTTGTCTTTTCTGTGTAATTTTATAGAAATTGAATCTTGTAATATCCAGAGAATGTTTGTAACCTCAGTAAAATACTGTTATAAGCCCATAGAGTAACATAATCAGAATAATTTTATTCTTTATTCAACCTCTTCATTTTCTTATTTCTAACCTCAAACCCCTAAGAATTTGATAAACATTTTTTTAAAAAACAGGGTCTCCCTGTAGCCCCAGCTGGCCTGGCACTCACCCTGTAGACCAGCCTGGTCTTGAACTCACAGAGATCCACCTGCCTCTGCCTCCCAAGTGCTGGGACTACAGGCATGAACCACCATGCTCAGCTTTGATAGACTCTTTTTTTTTTTTTTTTAAAGTAAATTTCTTGTCAACTGATATGGCAGATTAGGAATTATAGACTAGTAGAAAGAATAGTTTTGTATAAGTTTACCTGTTAGAAAATGGCACGCAGTGATAGGGATGTAGCTCAGTTGGTAGCAGGCTTACCTAGCTTGTACAAAGCCCTGGGTTTACTTTCCAGCACTGTGTAAACAGTTGTGGTAGGATACTCTTATAATTCCAGCAGTCAGGCAGTGACAAAGAGGATTAGGGGTTCAAGGCCTAGTCCACTACCTAGTGAGTTCAGGACCAGTCTGGGCTACATGAGACCCTGTCTTAGAAAATATGTGGATGCTTCTGCTATAACATAATGCTGTATTCCTAAAAAGTGTGTTTTGCCAAACCATACATTTTGTAAAACAAGCTCTGTGAGGAACGTGAAGTTGGAGTTGACTATACAAAACCTGTGTAATTTTATAAACAAAGAACTAGCAAAAACAGTAATAACCTGGAAAATCATTAATGGCTTTGGCTGACAGCTGTGTGTTGTTGGATGCTATCTTAGGACATACAAAAAAACAAAATAAAATTTTGTATTCAAAATGTTGGCCAGGGCTGGCTCAGTGGGTAAAGGCACTGGCCGCCAAGCCTGAGGACTTAAGTTCAATCCCTAGAACCCACGTAATTAAAGGGGAGAGCCAACTCTTGTTTTGTTGAGACAGGGTCTCCCTGTAGCCTCAGCTGGCCTGGAACTTGCAATGTAGACTAGCCTGGCTTGGAACTCAGAGATCACTTGCCTCTGCCTCTTGAGTGCTGGGTTACAGGCCTGTGGCACCACACCCAGCTGAGAGAACCAACTCTTACAAGTTGTCATCTGACTTCCACAGGTGTGCTATGCTGCATGCATGCACATGCATAAGTAATAAATGTATATAGTAATGAATAATAAATGTAGAAAAATGTTGGCTAATGAGTGCTCAGATGATGCAAATAGAAGTAAGCACTGAGCCGATGGAGCTGTTGTTACTTTGAAGCCAGGATCAGCCCCAGAGGAAGGAGCCACTGGTGTGGGGAATCATTTAAACTTTGGGGTTTTTTTTGAGACAGGGTCTCCCTATAACCGTGGCTGGCCTGAAACTGTTATGTAGACCAGGCTAGCCTCAAACTCAAAGAGACATACCTACTTCTGCCTCCCAAGTGCTAGAATAAAAGTGTGAGCCACCATGCCTGGCCTCCAAATTCTTCTTAAATAGATCAAAAATGATAAGCATTGTAATGATCACTGAGTTGATGACTTTCTTGGTAAAATGTTAATTCTGCTCTCTTAATTTTAGTTTCACTTGCTTAATATGAACTGATAGAATCTGTTTAAGATGATAGACTTTATTACCTTTGCAGTCACATGTGAGCATATTTGGTTGTACACATTATGGAGCCGGATGTGGTCGCACATGCCTGTAGAGACAGGAGGATCAAGAATTCAAGATCAGGGACTGAAGATATGGCTTGGCAGTAAAGAGCACTGGCTACCCTTGCAGAAGCCCGGGGTCGAATCCAACACCCACATGGTGACTAACAGCCATCCATAACTCCAGTTCTAGGGAATCCAACACCCTAATCTCACCCCCTCGGGCACTGGACAACACAGGTGTGCTTACATTTATGCAGGCATAACACTCATACATATAAAATAAATAATAAGTAAATAAAGTTTAAAAAGAGTTCAAAATCATCCTCAGAGACATAGTGAGTTTAAGGCCAACCTGGGTAATATAAGACTGTCAGAAAACCCAAACAATAAACAAGAAAAACATGTCATAGCAGAATAAAATGGAATATCAATTTATATTTGGCACTGAAATATATCAGAAATCCTTTTAGTTATGCTTGGTCAAAAAACTTTATTGGCCGGGCGTGGTGGCGCACGCCTTTAATCCCAGCACTCGGGAGGCAGAGGCAAGGGGATCTCTGTAAGTTCAAGGCCAGCCTGGTCTATGTAGTGAGTTCCAGGGCAGCTGGTGCTACAGGGAGATCCTGTCTCAAAAAGACCAAAAAAAAACTTTATTGGTGTAAGAAATTTCTGCAAATCCTTGGACAAGCTGAAAATATAGTAAATATTTGGTTTCTGTTTTGTTTTAATTGTTTTAAGACAAGCTTTCACTGTGTAGCCTGGGCTAGCCTGGAACCAGGTTGATTTTGAACTCCCAAGTGCTGGGATTACAGGCTTGTACACAACACCATGCTCTGCCATAATAGATTTTATATATATATATATAATTTTTTTTTAAATGTGTATGATTGTATTGCCTGCATGTAAGTGCACCTGTGTTGTTCAGTGCCCACGGAGGTCAGAAGAAGGCATCAGATTCCCCTGGAATTGGAGTTATAGATGGTTGTTAGCCATCATGTGGGTCCTGGGACTCGAACCTGGGTCCTCTGTAAGAGCAGTCAGTGCTCTTAACCTCTGAGCCGTCTCTCCAGCCCTGATACAGTATATATTTGTGATGTTCAAAGTGTGATGGAAGCTCCTATCAGTTTTTCATTTTGCTACATAAAAATTGACATTACTGTGTCACCTAGTCAGTTCCTTAATGAACTTAGAAGAGAAGGTATCAGAACTTTAGGAGTACCTAAAGGGAATGAATCAAGGAAGCCTGTGATGCTTTTTAATCAGTGCTGATTTTATCATCAATTATATGCAATGAGTCAGATGGACAGAAGATGCCTGTGCAAACAACTCTATGCTTAAATGGAGACGTAGACTTCTGTTACTGCAAATCAAGAATTTCCTCATTTTAGGCATTGCCAGTTCTTAGAAATTCCTAATTTAAGAGATTATCTTTTTTTTCTTTTTCAAAGATAGGGTCTCATACCACCCAGGCTAGCCTCAGACTCAGATGACCTTGAACCCTTGAACTTCTCATTCTCCTGCCTGCCCCCCAAGTGCTGGGATTTTAGGCATGTGCCACTACATCAGTACTGTTCTTTCATGCAGTGCTGGGGATCGATCCTAAGGCTTTATGCATGCTTTATGCAGCTTCTTTATGAAGCTGTAAGTATACCAGCTTCAGCCTTAGCTCAAAATTAATCTTTTTAATTTTTGCATCCATTCTTAATATAAATTCCATTCATTATAAGGAAATATATTAGTAAATAAAAGTACATTTTAATTTGAGATTGTTTTGTTAATATAAATTAACAAATCATTTAAATTTTTTACAGCCGATCAAAGTTGTTCAGTATAATATCAATACAGAAGAATTATATTCCTACCTAAAGGAATTCATCCACATACTGTATTTCAGGTAAGATGTCATGTTGTTTAGGGTTTTTCCCTAGATTTAGCAATTAAATTTTTTTCCTAATGTCAGTTGTAGGAATGTTTGGTTGTGTTACATTTGATGCAAAAAAAGAAAAGAAAAATTGGGTTCCATTGCCAGTTTTACTTGCTTATCTTCAGCCTTTTAAAATTTTTAAAAACACTGCTTTTTAAAAAATTCTTTGTGTGCATGCTTATTTAAGTCTGTGGGGAGGTCAGAGGACAACTTAGGGAATTCAGTTCTCTTTCCTCCATGTAGATCCTAAGGATCAAACTCAGGTGGCAGGCTTAGAAACGGATGCCTTTACACTCAGAGCCATCTTGCCAGTCCTTATCTTCAACCTTTTGGAAACCTTTTTTTTTTGGGGGGGGGGTTCTTTTTTGAAACAGGGTCTCCCTATAGCCCTAGCTGGCCTGGAACTCACTATGTAGACCAGGCTGGCCTGGAACTCACAGAGATCCACCTAACGTTGCTTCCTGAGTCCTGGGATTAAAGGCCTGCACCACCATGCCCAGCTGAAAAACATATTTGAAGATTAGAAAATTAAAAACCTATAAGAAGATACTGAAGACAAATAAAATGCATTAATAAAGGGTGTTGATAAGTAAATTATTGGATATATCCATATGGTGAAATATCCAGTCAGTACTGGGGGCCTGAGGCATGTTTTTCAGTGGTGGAGCACTTGATTTGTATGCTGAAAGCTCTGAGTTCACCCCAAGCAGGGAAAAAAAAAGTATGTATGTTTCTGAACTTTACGTAGTGATACAGAAGTCTCTAAAGTATATTGATAAGTGAGAAAGACATGTTAAAGAACAACTATGGAAGCCGGGTGTGGTGACACACGTCTTTAGTCCCAGCACTGGAGGCAGAGGCAGGCAGATCTCTGAGTTCGAGGCCAGCCTGGTCTACATATCAAGTTCCAGGCCAGCAGGAGCTACAGCTGTCTCAGAAAGACCAAACACCACCACTGCCACCACACACAAAAAAGAACAACTATGGAATGTGTATTGCTGCTCGGGTATGTGCTTGAACAGTCACAAGAATGAAAAAATAATGCAAACCATTTCTGGTAGTTTCTGGGCAGTTTCTTGGTGGTTTTTAAGTTAATGTCTGTAGCATTTGGAGCTTTATGAACTTAACATTACTTTCACAGATCCACAAAAGAAAGAATCTATGTGATGGCCAAGGGTGGTAATCATCATGGCTGTAGTTCTCGTTTTCTGAGTTAATGAGTTCCTACTGCAGTGCTTGGCACATTTTAAGAACTCAAAAACATTTTCCTAATTTAGCAAAACGGAGATGTCTTTTTGTCATAGAGTATCCTAAGATACAGTAGTATATTTTCTCTATTCTTAAATTGCATTAGTTACCAAAAGAAGTACAGACCTTTATTTCCTTTTAAAATGAAGCTGTCATTTTTCAGGCATCTGTTGGTGAATCCCCGAGACCGCCGGGTTGTGGTTATTGAGTCGGTGTTATGTCCTTCCCACTTCAGAGAGACCCTCACTCGTGTTCTTTTCAAATATTTTGAGGTACCTATTTTTAGTTGGGTTTTTTTGGGGGTGGGGTTGTGTGTGTGTATGTGTGTACATGTTTGTATGCATATGTATTTGCAGATTTGTATGTAGGCCCAAGGTTGGGTGTCTTCTTTAATCACTTCTCCATCTTATTTTTAATATTTTAAATTTGTTTTTGGCATTTTTAAGGTGGGGTATTATGAAGCCGAAGTTGGCCTCAAACTTGCTGTATAGTTTTTAATTGTTTTGATTTACACGCAGTGCCCTTGGAGGCCAGAAGAGGGTGTCAGGTCCACTGGAACTGAAGTTACAGATGGCTTTGAGCTGCTTTATGGGTGCTGGGAGCCGAACCCCATCCTCGGCAGGTACTCCTAACTGCTGAGCCATCTTTCCAGTTCCTCTTTATGCACTTATTCATGGTGTGTCAGCAGTTAAGCTAATAGGGTAATAGGTAATAAGGGTTTTTTTTGTTATTACTAAAATTTTACTTATTGGCCAGGCATGGTGGTGCACGCCTTTAATCTCAGCACTTGGGAGGCAGAGGCAAGTGGATCTCCGTGAGTTCAAGGCCAACCTTGTCTACATAGTGAGTTCCAGGCCAGCTGGGGCTATTAGGGAGACTCTGTCTCAAAAAAGGACCAAAAAAAAACTTTTTTAGCTACTTATTTCAATGTAAAATAAGTGCTTTTTAAATATTTTATTTATTATTATGATTATTTTCTAAGTGTTGAGTATATTGCCAGCATGTATATAAATGCACTGATGTCATGCAGTGCCTGAGGAGGTCAGAAGAAGGCATCAGATCCCCTGGAACTGGAGTTACAGATGTTTGTTAGCCACCATGTGGGTGCTGGGAATTGGAACCCTTGTCCTCTGCAAGAGCAGCCAGTGCTCTTAACCACTGAACCATCTCAACAGCCTGTAAAATAAATATTAAAAGTCTCAATATGGAGACTTTTTAGACTTAAAAGACATTAAGTGCTATGAAGTTCATTATGCATTTCTTCCATGTCTTTCTAGTTCTTTTGTTTAGTTAAGAGTGACTGTTGTGAAGTCTTCAGTTCTTTCATTTTAGTCTTTAGCTTTCTTTTAAATGAAATATTTAAGTATTGTGTCCTTTGGAGTACGTGGGTAATCCCTGGAATGAGGTTTACCTCTCAATTTTAGTAATACTACTTGTTATTTTTTATTTTATAAGTACAAGAATATGTTGTAAGATTATTACATTTGATAGTAGGCCAGAGTCTCGAATTTTTAAAAACCTCTGCCTTGAAATTAGAGTTCTTTTCAACAGAGAAAAATGAAAGAGTATCTAAAGTGTATACAGTATATTATAAGTTAATTAGATATAAACTGGGCAAAGCAGTGTTTGCCTATAATCCCAATTCTTGGAAGGTAGAGTTAGAAGGATCAAGGTCATTCTCTGCTATAGAGTAAATTTGAAGTCAGCCTGGGCTACTTAAGACCGCTCTCAAAAAGTTGGGGGAGGGGGTGCTGGAGAAACGGCTCAGTGACTGCTCTTGCAGAAGACCTGGCTTCCATTCCCAGCACCCACATGGCATCTAAACCATCTGTAACTCCAGGTCCAGGGAATCCGACACCCTCTTCTGACCTCCATGGGCATTGCACAATACAGGTGCACTTACACACATGCAGGCAATACTCTCAACACATAAAATAAAAAAAAAATAATAACTGAAAAAAGAAGGGGAAAAAAGTAAAGACAAAATATGTTGCATTCTGAAAATGCCACTGTGACAAGGACAGTTGATTCTAAGTAATTTTTGTAAGACAAGTGTGAAGAAACACACTGTCCTTACTGCTGCCATTGACTGGAGAATTTCATCACAGTAGTAGAAGACAAAATAAGGTGTGTCTGGTCTTCTCTGAGTGAGGAAGATTCTGGAGAATTTCATCACAGTAGTAGAAGACAAAATAAGGTCTGTCTGGTCTTCTCTGAGTGAGGAAGATTCTCTGAAGGTTAACCTCAGCTACATAGGGAGTTCAAGACCAGTGGTGGGGGTAGGGGTACGGGTGATAGCTGTTGATGTGGCTCATGGAGTAAAGGTGCTTGCCACCAAGCCTGACAACCTGCGTTTGATCCCAGGGACATACATGGTAGAGGGAGAGAATTAATGCCTACAAGTTGTCCTCTGATCTCCACATGTGTGCACAGGTACAGCCTCTCTCACTTCCAATAAATTAAAAAGAAAAAAGACCAGCCTGAGCTATACAAGACCCTGTCTTCAGGGGCTAGAGATGGCTCAGCAGTTAGGAGCACTGGTTGCTCTTGCAGAAGATCTGGGTTTCAATTCCCAGCACCCACATGGTGGCTAACAACCGTCCATAACTTCAGTTCCAGGGAAATCTGCCATCCTCTTCTGATCTCTGCAGGCATTGCACAATACAGGTGCACTTACGTAAGTGCAGGTAATATACTCATACACATAAAATAAAAAAATAATAAATATTTAGAAAAAAAGACCCTATCTTCAAAAGAAAAAAATCATTTATGTGTGGTGGTGCACACCTTTAATCCCAGCACTCCAGAGGCAGAGGCAGGCAGATCTCTGTGAGTTCAAGGCCAGCCTGGTCTACATAGTGAGTTCCAGACCAGCTGGACCTACAGGGAGACCCTGTCTCAAAAAAGACCAGAAAGAAAGAAAAAGAAGGGAGGGAGGGAGGGAGGGAGGGAGGAAGGAATTCTTTCTTAAAGCTGGGCATGAGGATGCATGTCTGTATTCCCAGTGCTCAGGAGGCTGAGCAGGAGGATCACTGTGTTCAAGGACAGCCTGGGTTACATTTGTGGCCTTGTCTTGCCCTTCTCCCCCAAATAAAAGAAAGAGAATGCTTTCCTGTATTTTCATGTAGATGGTAAAGACATCTCATTTTTTAATATCATCCTCTGAATTTATGTTTTTGGGCCTCTTTTTATCCCTTTCATTTGTCCACTCCAAAATAGGTAGTGTTAATAAAAATGCTTCAGAATTGTCTTTTGGAATGAAACAAACTAGTTAAATTATATCTGTTTATTACAGTGTATTTTGATTATTGAACAAATTCATCTAAACCAACAAGCTAGTTCTTCATTTAATACCAAACATTGGTTGAACAGATATCATTAATATAAATAAGTGCAATATGTCTATGAATTTTTTCAAGTATATTTGCAGACCAGGTACACATCTTCAAACCTGACGTCCATTCTGATCTCATTGCTGCTGTTTTCTTTTTCTAGGTTCCATCTGTCTTACTTGCTCCAAGTCATCTAATGGCTCTTCTGACGCTTGGGATTAATTCTGCCATGGTCCTGGATTGTGGCTATAGGGAAAGCTTGGTGTTGCCTGTATCTTTTTTTTTTTAATCAACTAGGCCATTGTGTAGTTTTTTTCTTCTATTTTTAACTAAAGTAATTGGGCTTAAAACCAATGATTTTCATTATTGAACTGCTTTGGGTTACTATGTACATGTATTGTATTCATGAATATCATGTAGTAAAGTTAATAGAATTGTAAGATTTGCTGGTCATGGTGGCTCACACCTTTAGTCCCAGCACTTCAGAGGCAGAGCAGGTGGAACTCTGTGAGTTCAAGGCCACCTGGGACTACAAGGAGACCCTGTCTTAAAAAGATTCCCCCCCTCAAAAAAATAATGAATTGTAAGATTTAAAATGCTTCCTTTTGGTAGAGATTATGATTCAGTCCTAGTTTATGCTTCAGGAGCAGAACTGGTATATATTATGTTCAATTTTCAAGATATACATCAGCTAACTAAGATGTATGAAAGAACTTGAGTGGCGTAGTTAAATTCTCAGAAAAGAAAATCATACAAAGAGTAATAGGATAAACTAAAAGAAAATTCAACTGAAAAAAAATTTTAAAATGGAAGAATAGAGTGAAATTGGCCTTCACTATAGAAAAGTTAATACATCGTTTTCCTGTCTCCAGAGGATATTAGAAATAGTACACCATAGGGTTTATGAGCTGTAGTTTGAAAATCAGATACTCAGTAAGTACAAATCTTAGCTGTGCTTCTTCCTTACACGATACCAGTCAAGAAGCTTAAATGCTTGGCATTAGTTTCCGTATCTATATAATGGTAATAATACTCCATCTCATGAAAATATTTATGTGTTAAGTAGTCTTTGCATTTAGTGTAATACCTGGCACATCATAACTTACTAAGTGCCATAGTTTTAGATCATTCACTAAAGCACAACTAATAATACAGTGTCTCCCAGAATAGAATTACTGATTATATAAACTGGCATAAGCTTATAAACAAAGTATAGGTAAGCTTTTGTAGAATTATCACTGAATGTCGGTTTATTGAAAAGGTGGTTAAAGGGGCTGGAGAGATGGCTCAGCAGTTAAGAGCACTGGCTGCTCTTGCAGAGGACCTGGGTTCTATTCCCGGCACCCACATGGCGGCTACGAACCGTCCTTAACTCCAATTCCAGGGGACTCCAAAGCCCTCTCTCCATGGCATTGCACGACATGGGTGCACTCACATGCAGGCAGTACACTCATACACATAAAATAAAAATAATAACTATTAAAAAAAAAGAAAAAAGAAAACGTGGTTAAAGCACATACACATAAGACTTGAAGTTTTGAGATCTACATTTGTATGAGAGGAAGTATTCACAGAAGGGAAATAACCATTCACATCTAAGGAATTACACAATGGTTTTGCAAATATAAAATACTATGTGTTTAATTCTAAAAAAATCCTGCCATATAAGTATTAATTTTTTCATATAAAAGAGAAAATTGACAGTTAGGGAAAGTGGTGGACCCAAGTTCATGTAAGTATATGGCTAGGATATAAATCCGTGTTTGTGCCATAAACTGACGCTCTTAACAGGTTTTTTTTTTCCTTTTTATAAATATTGTTCTTATTAAGTATTAACAAAAATAATATGTAAAGTAAGGTAATACAGCCACAGTACAGTATTGTACACTATCCCCTCAGCTGACTAGTAGCAATTGAGGGTGAGCCATATAAAAAGAGAGATAAAGCTGGACTCGGTGGCGCACGCCTTTAATCCCAGCACTCGGGAGGCAGAGGCAGAGGCAGGCAGATCTCTGTGAGTTCAAGGCCAACGTGGTCTACATAGTTCCAGGACAGCTGGGGCTATAGGGAGACCCTGTCTCAAAAAGACCAAAAAATAAAAAAGACCAAATAAATAAATGGGTAAAATTAATAGTACATTTTATTTAGCCCAATATATTCGAAATATTAGTCCTGTATACAGTCTATATAAAATTATAATGAAATAATACAGTTCATTTTTTCTCTTCATTAAAGTCTTGTAACTTTGCTGTGTAACTTACTCTTATAGTACAGTTCTGAATAGCTGAATTTTAAGTGGTCAATAGGAATACATGGTTAGTGGCTGCTTTATTAGATGTTTCAGTCCTAATTAATGAAGTGAGTGAGTGAGTGAGTGAAAGTATGTGTGTGTGTGTGTGTGTGTGTGTGTGTGTGTGTGTGTGTACGCACATATTTTAAGTCTGTTTTTGGTGAACACCATGAAAAAGACTTGCTCTTTGAATTTTCTCGAATTCTTTAAAACAAGAAATAAGAATTTGTCATCAAGTCAATTTAGAATAATACTGTAGAAGATGAGGTAAATATCAAGGAAACATTTTATCTCCTAAAATAGTAATGTCCTTGACTACACTATAGATATATGAAGGAATCCCAGTTCTGAATTGCTGGGGAGCACTCCCCTTAGGAGGAAAAGCTCTTCACAAGTAAGTTTCTTAGAATTTAGCATATTCTCTCACCAGTGCCACAAAAGCAGATACTTGTAATACGATTCTTAATTTATTGCGTTCCCTTTTAGCTTTGAATATGTTTAACCTTTTAGAGATAAAACCATTTTTTACCAGGCTGAAGATATAACTTAGTTGCTAGAGTGCTTGCCTAGCATGCATGAACACCCAAGTTCCAACCCCAGCACTGCACAAAACCTGGCATGACGATGAACACCTAAAATCTCAGCACTTGAGAGGTAGAGGCAGGAGAATCAGAAACTAAGGTTGCCCTCAGCTACGTAGCCAGTTGGAGGCTGGCCTGGGCTAGAGGAGACCCTGCCTCAAAACTGTAAGGTGTCTTGATTTTTTACAGAGTAAGTAAAAATGCTAAATAAGAAAAGACAAGGCATGAAGCAGGCGATCTTTTTGAGTTCAAGACTAGCCTGGTCTACATAGTAAGCATAGTAAGTTCCAAGCCAGCTGGGGCTACAGGGAGGGAGACCTATCTCAAAAAGACCGAAAAAAAAAAAAAAAAAAAAAAAGGGGGATATAAGTTGAATTTTTTTTTTAGTTTCTTTTTAATATTTTATTTACTGCTTTTATGTATATGAGGATATTGCCTGCACCCATGTTGTACAGTGTCCACTGAGGTCAGAAGAGAGCATCAAATCCCTGGAACTAAAGTTATGGATGGTTATTAGCCACCATGTGGAATCAAACCTGAGTCCTCTATAAGAGCAATCAGTGCTCTTAACTGCTGAGCCATCTCTCCAGCCTGAAGTTGCAGTGTTTTAATTCAATGATTTTTTTCAAATTCCAGGGAATTGGAAACTCAGCTGTTGGAGCAGTGTGCTGTTGACACTGGAGTTGCTAAAGAACAGAGCCTTCCCTCTGTGATGGGTACGTAATAAGCTGTTTAAAAGTGTACTCTTTTTAAAATTTTTTTTTATTTTTTATGTAAGTTATTTATCTGCATGTCTGCAAGTGTACCCATGTGTGCAATGCCTGCAGAAGTCAGAAGAGGGCGTCAGATCCCTTGGAACTAGAGTTATGTACAGTTGTTAGGCACTGTGTGGGTCCTGGGAACTGAGCAGCCAGTGCTCTTAACTGTTGAGGCATCTCTCCAACCCCCCCCCCCCCCTTTTTTTTTGTTTGAGACAGAGTTCACTGTGTACCCTTAGGTGCTCTGGAACTTCCTACGTAGACTAGTTCACCTCAGACTCACAAAGATCCACCAGCCTCTGCTTCTGGTGCTGGAATTAAAGGCATGCACCAACACACCTTTTCATTTTTTTTTTTAGCTTATATTTGAGTATTTTCCCATTGCATACTTATTCTCACCTCGCCTTTGCCACTCTGTCGACCTTGTTCCGATTATAAAGTCAGTCAGTGCTATTAATCACACCAGCTGTGTGTTAGTTATCTTTTCCTAGAACCTGGTGTTTTGGATCATTTTGTCCTAAAATCTCCCCTTCCCTTTGCTCTCAGGTTTCTTTCTTTCTTCTTAAAATGTAATTATTTTTACTTTATGTATATTAGTGTTTTGCCTGCATGTTTGTAAGAGCACAATGTGCATACAGTGCTCAAAGAGGCCAGAAGGGAGTGTCGGATCCACTGGAACTAGAGTTACAGAGGGTTGTTAGCTGCCATGTGCTGGGAACTGAACCCAGGTCCACTGCAAGAGCAGCAAATGCTCTTAAGTACTGGGCTCTCTAGCCTTGGGATTTTCTTTTGAAAACGTTATGTTATTTCTGAATATTCCTTCTTGATTTCTGTTTCTGCTCTCTTCACTGGTATTCCCCTAAGAACTTCTTTTCCTTCTTTATTCTACTGACTTTTAAACACGTCATTTCCTCTTTTGACTATAGTTAGATCCACATGCTGTTGGTTCTCAAATGTATAACTGTGCCTGCTCTTTCTGAATTCGATTCTCAGATTTCCAGTCGATTATTAGATGTAAGCTATGCATATCACTTTAAACTTCAAAAAGTAGTACTCCAGAGGCTGGAGAGATGGCTCAGCAGTTAAGAGCCCTGGCTGCTCTTGCAGAGGACCTGGGTTCAATTCCCAGAACCTACATTGTGGCTAACAATCATCCAAAACGCCAGTTCCCAGAGATCCAATGCCCTCTTCTGGCCTCCGCAGGCTTTGTACCACACAGGTGCAATTACATACATGCAGGAAAAACACTCGTACACATAAATATATAATATATATGTAATATACCGTTTTTTTAGAAAAAGTTAGTACTCCAAAAGTGAAGACATCATCTCTTCTCTCACATTTTTTTCAATCAATTATTATTAGATTAAGGCAATAACATCTTCTCTGTTTCTCTTTTTTATAGATGGGTATTTAGTGAATCTTTTTAATCTTCCTCAGCAATCTCTTTTAATTTCACCTCTTTTTTTCCCCATCTTTCATGTCTCTGGACATATGAAAACAAAGATAACATTTTATTCTATTCCTTCATTATTTTTGTTTGCACTGTTACAGGGGCCTATGCCTGTACTGATCACTTTATTTCACAGTGTTGCCAGGAATAACTGTCCCTTAAAATCTGATTGTCTTTTGCTTGAGAAGCTTCCTTAGCTCCTACAGGTTAAATCCAAATTTATATGTTTGATATACTTTACTCCTTATTTCAGCTTTTTTTTCTTTTTTCATTTTTTGAGACAGGTTCTCACTATGTAGCCCTGGCTGGCCTGAAACTCTATGTAGACTAGGCTGGCCTCTGCTTTCTGAGTACAGAGCTTAAAAGCATCCACTAACATACCTAGTGTTCAGCCACAATTTTTTATGGTCTTTTTCCATCACTAAGAGTACTTGTACTACCCTGTGTATCTTATTTCTTTACCTAGGAGTTTTTCCCCTCACTACTTCCTGTGCATAACCCAACTGGAATATCCATTCTGTAAAGCTTTCCTCCTCTTCCCTAAGCAGAGTAAATTGTTCTCCGTTAAGCTTTAATGCCATAGATTACCATTTGCCTGTTAGCTTACCTGTTTCTCACAATAGACTTTGAGGGTCCCCATCTTACTTTTCAGAATAACAGCATCTAGCATAGTGCCTTTGTGCACTTGTGAATATATGTTGGACAGAGAAAGGTGTGGTTTAGGGTCATTTAACCTTGCTTTTTGTCTTCCTATCCCGCCTTCCTAATAGTTAAGATAATAGCATTTTCTTCCTGATCCTGTAGATCTAATTAGGTTTTCTATTGTAGTTAAATTTTGTTATTCTTCGTATATCATGGTAGCAGTAAGGTCTCCAAAGATAGCTAAGTTCAGTATAGCATTCCAAAATATTTTTAATAAAGATGTTACTTAAAACTGATCATAAGGCAGGCATGGTGGCATGCTCTTGTAATTCCAGCAACTCAGAAGACTGAGGCAGGATGATTGTATTTGAGACTAACAAACTAACTAGGCAATGTACAAAGGCATCAAAGGCATCATCCTGGGGTGGGGGAGCTCCAATTATAAAATTAGAAACTCCACATTTTTAGGTTTGATTTCCTTCATGAACTTCCTAGGACTGGTCTAATCTTTTCCACACAAGCACCTCAGAATTCTAGTCTGTATTACAGTTCTGATACTGAGAAACTAAAACATTGTTTGCTGGATGACATAGGAGGACCAGAAATGTAAACAATTTAAAAATGCCCTTTTTTAAATCCTTAGCAAAGTATAGATATGAGTCTTAGATATACTTGAGATCCTCAAATGAATTTTAACTAGACTTTTTCATGTAGTATTTAGAACCTATTTCAAAAAAGAATGAATAATTCCAGAACTCAGGAAACTAAGGCAGATTTGTAAGTCCAAGGCTAGCCTGAGTCACATAACAAGGCTCTATCTCCAAAAATAAAACACCAAGTATGCTGATTTGAAAATGAAAAAATTTTAATTACATGCCAAAATGTTATGCTTTTTATTCTCCTAAATTGACTGAAATTGGCCAGGCGTGGTGGCACACACCTTTAATCCCAGCACTTGGGAGGCAGAGGCAGGCAGATCTCTGTGAGTTCAAGGCCAGCCTGGTCTACATAGTGAGTTCCAGGACAGCTGGGGCTACAGGGAGACCCTGTCTCAAAAAGACCAAAAAAAGAAGAAAAAAGGGGGGGGGACTGAAATTAAGGTGGAACTTTTCAGAGCCAGGGATCACTGCTGTTTCCATTCTTTACTTGCACAGATTATTTGCCAACATTGTCTCCTCTCTTCAAAGCAGCATCTAATCCTAACTAAATTAAACTCTATTATTTTCAAGCTTACTTTATTTTTACCAACAGAAAACTATTTTTTTACAAAATCAGACTTTTTAAAAATATTATATGTATTATTTTTATTTTATGTGTATGAGTGTGTTGCCTACATGTATGTGAGTGCACCCGTGTCACGCAATGCTGTGGAGCTCAGAAGAGGGCTTCACATTCCCCTGGAACCAGAGTTAAAGATAGTTCATAGCCGCCATGTGGGTGCTGGGAATCAAACCCAGGTCCTCTGCAAGAACAGTCAGTGCTCTTAACTGCTGAGCCATCTCTCCATCCCCCAGAAAACTGCTTCTTATATTACCAGATATTTCTTTAACTTGTGCTGAAATTTGTTTGAATATTCTTAGAAAGAGGTCAGCAGTTGCAAAATGCTACAGACTTTAGCACTTGCTCTTAGATTGTAGATTCTTATAATATAGTTACATTTCTCTCATCTATTTATACCCAGGCTTAAATCTTGAAGGATATCTTTACCCTCTTGTGAACTAAATTTTAGCACTTGGGTTTTTGTTTTTGTTTTTTTCTGGTTTTTTGAGACTGGGTTTCTTGGAGCCCAAGCTGGTCTCTATGTAGCTAAAGCTGTTCTTGAATTGCTGATCCTGCTTCCTTCACCTCCCAAGTGCTGTGGTCACAGATGTATGCCATCACACCCACCCAGTTAAATTTTAATATTTAAGGATAGGAATCTTCAAGCTGTTTTGATTACATACTAAAAAAACTTCGAACCATATGCTTTCAATATGTATGTTTATAATCTTTGTGTGTTATTACTACCATATTATAAAACACAAAAGAAATTGGAAAGAACAGGGTTACTAAAGGTAATACATCTTTAAGTTGCATTTATGAGTGGTTTTGGGATGGGGTGCTAGGAATTAAACTCAAAGTGTTGTGCATACTAAGCATAAGCTATACCACTGAGCTATACTCCCAGCCTCTAAAGTCATTTAATATTGGTAACAATTTTTTGCTCTTTTTCAAGCACAGTATTATTAAATATGCTATTTTTTAAGTTATGGATTGATACTTTGAAGTTGAGGTTTTAGATTACATTGATTATAATTTCAGATCCAGTCAGAAAGCTACAGAAGACAAGATAAACAGATCTAAGTAAAAGAATTGCAATGTTTATTCATTTGTCGTGATCCATTTCTTAGCTATGAATTTCTTTTTTTTTTTTAATACACCAATCCAGTTTTTTAAGAATGGGTTTAGAAAAGCTGGGGGCTTGGGAGGCAGAGGTAGGTGGATCTCTGTGAGTTCACGGCCAGCCTGGTCTACATAGTGAGCTCCAGGATTCATTTTTTTTTAACTTGCTATGTAGAGCAGACTGTCCTTGAACTCACAGAGATCTGCCTTATGCTGGGACTAAAGGCATGTGTCATTCAGCTGGTTTAGAAGACTTTAAATTTAGGTTAAAAATTTTTGTTTCTAACTCAGAAAATGAAAGCTTGTCAAATAATCAGGTAACCTTACTAGTATATTGCAAGACTTTTTATATTACATACATTTCTTTCAAAAAGGTACTTTTTGACTATTAGTTTTTGGTGTGTTTTTGTGTTTCACCTATTGTTGAAACCAGGTCTTACTAGGCTTAGTTGCCTAGAATTCCGTGTAGCTCAGGTTGGCGTTGGCCCTTTATTTGAGGTAGTCGTGCCTTTACCTTGAAGAAAAAAATTGTATGTGCTCCTGTTTTAAATTTTTTTAAATTTATTTGTAATTTACATGTATGAGTGTTTTGCCTACATATGTGTAAAGTGCTCCCATCTGCAAGCAGTATCCACAGAAACCAGAAGAGGGCATCAGATCCCCTAGACTTGGAGATGTGGATGGTTGTTAGCTGCATGTGGGTGCTAGGAATCTAACCCAGGTCCTCTCTAAGAGCAGTCACTGCTGTTAACTGCTGAGCCATCTCTCCTGCCTGACTTTTTTTTTGAGACAGGATCTCACTATGTAGCCCTAACTGACCTGGAACTCACAGAGATCCACCTTCCTCTACCTCCCAAGTCCTGGAACTAAAGGCATGCACCAACATGCCTGACTATATGTGTTCCTTTTTAAAAAATACATACTGGTGGGGCTGGAGAGGTGGCTCAGCCTCCTGCAGAGGACCCCCAGTTTGGCTCCCAGAACACATGGTTGGCAACCATTCATATCTTCAGTTCCAGGGGATCTAACGCCCTCTTCTTGCCTGCACAGGCTCTGCATGCATATGGAGCACTTACATATATGCAGGCAAAACACTCACATTAAAAATGCATGAATCTTAGAAAAGGAAAGAGGTAGGCATAGTGGTGCACACCTTTAATTCCAGTACTCTAGAGGCAGAGCAGGCAGATCTCTGTGAGTTGAGGCCAACTTGGTCTACATAGCAAGTTCCAGGCCAACTGGAGCTGTAGGGAGACCCTGTCTCAAAAAGACAAAAAAGAAAGGAAAGGAAAGGGGGTGGAGAGATTGCTCAGCAGTTAAGAGTACTGGCTGCTCTTGCAGAGGACCCACAGTCGGTCCCAGCACCTACATGGCAGTTAACAACCTTCCATGACTCCAGTTCCAAGGAAATCTGAGGCCCTCTTCTGACCTTTGCAGGCACTGCATGATATGGGTGCACTTACACACATGCAGGCAATACACTCATACACATAAATAAAAATAATAAAAATTTTTTTAAAAGGAAAGGAAAAAGCATGTACTGTTAAGCAAACAAGATGGTTCAACAAGTAAAAGCATTTGCTTACTTGGGTTCAATTCCCAGGAGAGAAGTGAGCCCTAAAAGTTGTCCTCTGACCTCCACCTCCACATGTAAGCATTAACACCTCTTCCCCAGCTCTTCCAGATATACTGGATTAAGATATTGTTGGCAGCTATTATTACACGAAATAGAAATAACTTAGAACTTACAATTCATCTTTAAGCCCATATTTCTTCTGAGTGCTTTTGCAGAGGATAACCAACAAGCTTTTGATATGAAAGATTTACTTAGTCATGCCTAATGGAAGGTATTACTGTTAATTTTTACAGTGCTGGGGATTGAATCTGAGGCTTCATGTATCTGTGTGCGTGCACTGTACTACTAGACCACACCTTTGGTCCTCCACCATGTTGTAGAGGTTTGTTTTTATAACATTGTTGTGGGTCTTTCTCAGGCCAGCTGTGAAGACCCTGACCTGGATTAGGTCCCCTGCCGATTAGGGAGGTGGGGGCAAGACGCGCGGAGTCAACACACAGACACCGGGAGTCGGTAGAAGCAAGCACTAGGCGAGGTGCTGCAGGCTCGTTTAATGCAGGAGGGGGCAGGCCTTATATTTCCCTTTTCTGCGCCACACAGTCTGTTAGCAGTCACTGGGCTTGCGAGCAGGGTACGGAGGCGTGGGCTCCTTTTGGCAGGCTCCTTTTCACAGGCTATTTGAGGACCAAGAAGTGAAGTGAATTCTTGCTGAATCCCAGGGCTCTGGGTCCGTGCCATCTTTGGGGGCCTCCTGCTACAATTTATATCCTGGCCCAGCTAGATAGCACACACCTTTGATCCTAACAGTTGGAGGGCAGACAGGTGGATCTCTGAGTTTGAGGCCAGGCTGGTCTACATAGTAAGTTCTAGGCCAGCCAGGGCCATTATAAAATAGGTCACTGGAGAGATGGCTCAGTGGTTAAGAGCACTGATTTTTCTTACAGAGGACCTGGGTTCAGTTCACAGCACATACTCATACACATAAAATATAAACAAATCAGGCTAGAGAGATAGCTCGGTGCTTAAGAGCACTGGTTGCTCTCACAGAGGACCCAGATTTAATTCCTAGCACCCACATCGTGGCTAACAACTATCTGTAACTTCGGTTCCAGGGGATCTGACACCCTCTTCTGACCTCCACAGGCATTGCATGACACAGGTGCACTTGCATGCAGGCAATATATTCATACACATAAAAAGTAAAATAAGTAACAAAAATAAATAAAAATTTAAAAGGATAACATTTAAGCTTATGAACCCCTATAGCACTTTTGGACTCTAGGGATCGATTTCTGTGCTTGCTTTAAAGTTCTTTTTTTTTTTTTTAACAATATTTTGTTGTTTTAGTTTTGCTTGAAATTCTTTAATTCTCATAAAATTTCTTTTTCAGGTTCAGTTCCAGAAAGTATCTTAGAGGATATTAAAGTTTTGCCTTGTCTAACCCCAACCTCAACCCAATGACACACCTACCGCTGTGTGTGTGTGTGTGTGTGTGTGTGTGTGTGTGTGTGTACATAATATTCTGAAAATACCTAATACATAGGCTGTGGAATAATATAAAAAATTCATTTTCTTTTTTTCAGCCAAGCATGGTGGTAGACACGTTTAATTCCAGCAGTTGGGAGGCAGAGACAGGCAGATCTCTATGAGGTCAAAGCCAGTCTGGTCTACATAGCAAGTTCCAGGCCAGGACTATACAGTGTTTTTAAAATAAACATATTTCAAATTTTTTTATTATTTTTATTTATTTTTGTGTTTATGACTGTATTGCCTGCATGTAGTAAGTGCACCTGTGTTATGCAGTGCGTGTGGAGGTCAGAAGAGGGCATCAGATCCCCTGGAACTCCAGTTATGGACAGTTGTTGGCCACTATGTGGGTGCTAGGAATCAAACCCAGATCCTCTGCAAGAACAATCAGTGCTCTTAACCACTGAGCCATCTCCAGCCCCCAAATATTTTTATTGAATTTTTGTGCATTTCATAAAGCAAAACAATTTTTTTTGAGCTATGGCCCCGCCTGTACCAGGCTAGCCTCGATCTGACAGAGATCTGCCTCCTGAATGCTTGTATTAAATGTGTGTGCCACAATGCCTGGCATAAAAGTTAAACTTTTTAAATGCTGATTTTTCTTCAGGCATAAAAACTGCATTATTTATATTATGGTATTAAAACAGCGGCTCAATTATGTAGAGAATATACAGTGCTACTAGGGAAGTAGTTTGTACAGTGTGAAATATATTAAGTTGCTTAAGTAATCACTGGCTTAGGGTTGAGGAGATGCCTCAGTCTATAAAGTGTTTGCTATGCAGGTGTGAGGCCCTGAGCAGCAGCTCTCGAATCCACGTGGGAAAGGCAGAAAGTGGTGTACACACTTGTGATCCCAGTGCTCAGGAGGCAGACACAGGAGAATTCTGGGGCTTGCTGGCCAGCCAGTCTAAACCTAGCTGAGTTGGCAAGTTCTCTAGGTTCAGTGAAAGATCCTGCCTGTAAAAGCGGGGCGGGGGTGGGGGGCGGGTTATTGAGTATTGAGGAAGACATCAGCCAGTGGCCTTCATATGCACATATGTGCACTTGTTCACATATATACATACCTGTGTATACATGCATACACACTACTGGTTTTATGTTAATGTTTTAACTCTGCTTTTTCTAAGGCTAGTTATTTTATTGAATGTTTACAAATCCTAGAGTTTTAACCAAAGTATATTAGATTGACTTTAATAAGATTGCATGACATGGGTGCACTTACCTACATGCAGACAATACACATAAAATAAAAAAATATTTTTTAAAAAAGATTTATTGCTTCTGTTGTTAAGAGTGGATTATTGTGATAATGTTTGAATAATCGGGTTTTGGGTTTGTTTTTTTGTTTTGTTTTTAATATTTTATTTATTATTTTTATGTGTATGTGTGTGTGGCCTGCATGTAGGTAAGTGCACCCATGTCATGTAGTGCCCAAGGAGGACAGAAGAGACTGTCGGATCCCCTGGAACTGGAGTTACGGACAGTTGTTAGCTGTCATGTAGGTGCTAGGATTCGAACCCGGGTCTTCTGCAAGAACATTCACTGTTCCTAACTGTTGAGCCATCTCTCCAGCCCCTGTTTTGTTTTGTTTTGTTTTGTTTTGTTTTGTTTTGTTTTGTTTTGTTTTGTTTTTTTGAGACAGGGTCTCCCTGTAGCCAGCTAGCCTGGAACTCATTATGTATAGACCAGGCTGGCCTGGAACTCAAAGAGATCTGCCTTCCAAGTGCTGGCTTTTATAGTATTTTTCTACAAAAAAAAATTTGAAATAAAATTTCCCAGTGTCGAGGCTGGAGATAAATAATATGTGATTTTACAGAAGATGAACATTTAAGTAGTACATCCACTTCAATAGAATTGGTTCAGCCAAGATAGAAGCTCACCATTCAGTTGACTACAAGCTGTAACAAAGGCTCTTTTTCCTCCTTTCTTAAGTGCGTACTTGCTTTGTAAGTGATCTGAAGCGTGGACTAAAAATTCAAGCAGCAAAATTTAATATTGATGGGAATAATGAGGTAAGCTAAAAAAAATCTGTTGTCTTTTACAGAAGTTACACATATGCAGACTTATGCTTATATGTGTGTATTTGTGTATTTCAGCGTCCCGCTCCACCCCCAACTGTTGACTATCCATTAGATGGAGAGAAGATTTTACATGTGCTTGGATCAATCCGGTGAGACCTTAATTTTTATGAGCAAAATAGTTAAATTCTTGACTCTGAAAATTTTTTCTATAAGGGAACTGGAGAGATGGCTCAGTGGTTCAGAGCACTGGCTGCCCTTGCAGAGGACCTGGTTTGGGGTCCCAATGCCCACATGGTGGCTAACAGCTATCTTTAACTCCAGTTCTGGGACATCTGATACCCTCTTCTGGCTTCCATAGACATTGTTTGTATGTGGCACACTTACATACAAGCAGGCAAAACACAGGTAAAATAAGCTGGGCATGGTAGCACATGGGAGCAGCACTTGGGAGCAGAAGCAGGCAGATCTCTGTGAGTTTGAGGCCAGCTTGGTCTACATAGTGAGTTCCAGGCCAGCAGGGGCTACAGGGAAACCCTGTCTCAAAAAGACAAAAAAATAGAAGAAATGTGGAGAGATTTTGTTGTTGTTTTTTAATTTTTTTTTTTTTTTATGGATATGAGCATACTGCCTGCTTGTGTGTAAGTGCACCCATGTCTGCAATGACTGCAGAGGTCAGAAGAGGGCATCGGATCCCCTAGAACTGGAGTTAGGCTTGTTGTTAGCCACCATGTGTTA